AGAATTTTAATTCGTGGGAATCGGCTTTGTCGACCTCTTCCAACACTCGTCGTTTTCGGACCCCCGAATCTGCGTGACGGCAGTCCTAAGTCTGCTTGTTTTTCGTTATCACACTGCGATAAGTATTTTTTTCAGCCAATTAATAGGTTGGCCTTTAGCATATTCGATGTCGTCTTCAGCTTGGTCCTAATGCCTTTTGAGCACGTTCGATAAGCCGATTAAAACATCGTAGCAGCACGCAAAATGTACGAAAGTTCAACAAATCCAAATAGACCAATGCGGCCTCGACTCTCGAGCATCATGATTAGGTTGATGGTTCACGCGCTCTACCATCCTCACTATATCATCCTGTGATTTTTGCATCTGCTGAAACGTTTTGTGCATGTAGCTCCATGTGTTCTCTCTAGTCATGTTGCCTCGCGCTGACGTTTACTGATCGTTGGCTCTCATACCTTCTTCCTTGCTTGCGCCTGACGAGACACAGGGCCAACTTTGTATCCGTGTTGATGAGGCATGTGGTCTCTCTCAGTTCATCCTATCCTTGGGTGTTTTTGTTTCCCTCACATTCCTTTTGCCTCGTCATCAATCTTTGTGACTGAAAACAGCTCGTTTGGGATCGAGCTCGTGCTAGGTGGACTTTCGCACCGGATAGGTAAGCCACGCACTTCTGACAATTCTCATTGTTGTCTAACTAGCATAGTCTCGGACCAAACATCGATATACCTCAAGAGAGGTGCTATGCCATCGTTGAAGTTCACCTCATATTTGGACTGTATCTGTATCTGTATTGTGTCATCGAGACCGAGCTTTGAGCTTGACTGTATTTGTATTCTGACATCGAGACCGAGCTATTTCATCGAGACCAAGTTCTGAGATCTGAGTAACTAATTGGATACTTTATGAAGTAGTTTTGTGTATTCATATTGACGCAGTTCTATCATTTTCGATTATCGCACAGCATGATGTTCACGTCAGGTGACTGACAGATTATGTGCCATCCAACATGACCTTGCTTCGCAAGGTAATGACGGAAACCAGAGAACAAACAGGTACGCATTGCAAACCTTGTATTCAATTTGTCTTACTTCGGACGACCCTCTTCGAGGCTAATTCTTCCTGTTTCAGCAGATACCAACGAGCAAACCGTGCCCGGGCCATAGCGGCGAATATTTTACTAGTTAAATTGTTCGATAACAGTAGGTTGTACTTATGCCAGTGTTAAGAAAGGAGGGTTGGTGTGGTATGCTGATCATCTGTCCCAAAGAAAGGTCCGCCCTAAAAGACTAAGGTTGGCACTCATGTTCAGAGTATGATAATACCGCAAGCAATGGAAACGATCAGGCCAAGTGCCCCAAAGCTGTCTTATGCTCACAGCATCACCTGTCTTGGTGGTGTGAAAGGGCTACTGCCACTACTACTACTACCATTAGCAGTAGAGCTCTTCGCAGCATGATGTCGAAGTGGAAAGTCTGTCCACTGGGAAGCTGTAAATGTGAAACACTGTCAGGGCACCATAAAATCGAACCCGTGAAACCATCAACGAACAGTAAGAGATCCACCACAAGCTTCGTTCCAGCTGTCGATGGCGGAATCAGCGTCTGTCGAGGCAGATGGTTCGGCCGTAACAAGGCAATCCATGCATGTTTGAAGCTGGGTTCCGATGGTCGACACGCAAATGCAAGATAGACTGTTGTCGCAGTCCTGGGGTACGTCTAAGCAATGTCAAAAGCTCGAGTTATTCTGGCGTGCTCACACTTATCGTATTGATGACTTGGCACGTGCTTTGGCATTGAGAAGGGAGGTCGCTCGTATTTACCTGACGGACGGCGAGGGCGTTGGGATGGACATTGCGCGCGACAGGAGGGGCTGGACGCGAAAGAGACGTGTTAGTTGACCAATAGATATCAGTGGGTCGAGATTTACCTTGCGCGACAGTGACAAGAGCCTGCCAGAGGAGGGGGGTAATCTGGACCATTGGTATCAAGCCGTGATACTGACAGCTTCGTACAGAAGAAAAAAGGATGGTCCAGGAACAACGAACGTGAGGTGTCTTTTAGCAAATTTCGGGAGCTGAGATGAACCAATGTCAACGTTCCCGTCTGTGATCAGACAGCGGTATCCAGGACAAGTGCGAGAGCCTAGAGGCTAGAGGTCGAGTACGAAGTCGCCCTTTCAGGAAGAGGGTCACGACCGATGACTCCCTGCACTGCCAACTTAACAAAATTTATCAGCTGGTGATTGATTGACCCTGGTGTAAATTTGCGTTGTTGTGTGCCTTAGAGCTCTTGTTCAACTCGAAGCTTCAAAGGCTTCATGTGTAGCTATAGCGGGAGCCTAGTTGCGGCAGTGTAAGACTCAAAGGGTGAATTTGGCATCTTTTTCGGTCATTGACTCGGTACTCATCGGATTGTGGTTGGCCATGTCCAGTCGATGTAAGTCGGATAGTATAAATCATACGAAGCGGTCACCGGCAATGATTGACAGGAGACTCAGGACCAGGTACTACCAGTAATTGCCATTATTTGTACGGTAGTACTGTCGGCTAACGCCGTGTGAGGCGGATGATATTTATGTAGCGCTCGGCGGGCGCTAGTTCCCGTTGATCGCCCCGTTCTTCGTAACGTTTGTCTTGACAATATCATGGTATACCGTGACTATACCCAGCAGGGTGATTTCGATATTTTATGGCGAACCGTGGTTTGATCAGAGTGTAAGTATGCTCATGAGTTATATCATTCATTTGATCGGCAGGTGATCATCGGCAACCGGAAAGCGTTTTCCATGCATTAAATGACAGACGGCATGTCTATTTTCCACAGAACCCTCTCCCACTACTTAATAGTACTTGTTGGGGACAGTTACACGCTCCCATAATGCGAACGCCTGGCATCAACTTTTAGCAAGCAAACATTGTGCAACCAAATTTTTGATAGCATGAAACTGATCGGCGCCAGTGACCGGTGATCACGTTAGGAACTGGACTGACCTGGACCACGCGGAGCCGGAGCATCGTGAGTATAAGTCAGATAAACCTCCAGGTTGCGAAGGCTTGCGCACTCGACCAAAGAGCTAATTCTTATCCAAAGCACACGCGGTGGCCTGGCTAATACTATAATAGGTCTTCCAATAATATTCCGCATTCGTCAGCAATCTCGTTATCATGGCCGCTGTGCGACCTCTGTCCGATGCTCCCAATCACCCATGTCTGCCGGGATTAACGTTACCGAGGAGCAGCCTTTGCTGTCCAACTCCAAGCAGTCAAGTTATCATGATAACCCCCCAGACAGCTCAAGTCGCACTCAGGACGAAGAGGCACTTCCCTTGACAGACGAAACGAGTGACTCATTGAAAGAGCCGTGGACCGGGAAGCGAATAACTGTCTATGGTGTTCTGACATTGTTAGGAGTGTTTATATTGGCCACATTCATCAAAGGCTTCATTGACGCTGATGATGTGAATGTAAGTCGTGGTCTGCTTGTATAATATCTATTTTCTTCCTCATGTTCGTCGTTGCTAGTTTGACTTTGGAAAAGCGTTCAAGAGTGCGCTAGGAGGAGGGTTAAGTGGTGCTGCAGGTAAGCAAATCCATTCATTGGAACATCTATGTCACAATTTTGATGTCATGGCAGCCATGGTGTTGCAGGTTTTGGCGCTCATGGTATGATGCTCATACCGAATATCTCCGATTTCCGCTGAAAATCATGTAGCCTCTGCGCACCATCATGAATTACCAATACAGATACGGCACAACAACGACGCAGGCTACCAAGATTTTATACGCTGATGGCGGTTGGACACGGTATTACCAAGGCCTCACTGCAGCTCTGGTTCAAGGGCCAGTATCCCGTTTTGGCGACACCGCTGCCAATGTAGGCATTCTCGCCCTCCTTCAAAGTAATTCATACATGAAGACCCTGCCGACGTTTGTAAAAACATTGTTCGCAAGTGTTGCTGCGGCTTGTTTCCGCATGACATTGACCCCAGTTGACACGATCAAGACGACTATGCAGACGCAGGGTAAGGAAGGCATCGCATTACTGAGGGCCAGGGTATATCTTCACATATATAGTATCTGCTTGTCCTGATGTTCTCTTAGGTTAAGAAGTATGGTATTGGCAGCTTGTGGTATGGTGCTCTCGCGACTGCCGCTGCTACATTTGTCGGTCACTACCCAGTAAGCGCTTAAATCTGGGACATACATTCTTTACTGATTCTTTACCCAGTGGTTCGGGACGTACAACTATCTCAACGCGGTCCTCCCACTTCCAACGACTATACTGCAGAAACTCCTTCGTTCTGCTATAATCGGCTTTGCAGCTTCCATCACCTCTGATACCGTCTCTAACTCTCTTCGCGTGCTGAAGACCTACCGACAAGTCAATGCTACACCAATTGGATATGCCGATGCTGCCCGCGCCGTCATCGCAGCAGACGGCCTCAAGGGTCTGTTCGGACGGGGACTCAAAACCCGTATCTTGGCCAACGGCCTCCAAGGAATCATGTTTTCAGTGCTGTGGAAGTTATTTTTGGATATGTGAGTTATTCGTGCGCATGTCTTTATGATCTGGTCCTGAGTATTCCCATCATGTCCAGGTGGAATGACAAGACGAATTAGATACGTTCGGGTGTAATGCATATAAGGAAGGGCTTGTACATCACTGTTACCCTGAATACCAGGTCACTCCGTTACCTTCTCATTGTTCTTGATCCTGCCAAGAGTTTGGTCTTGTGATATCGTGATACATAGAACATATCTCACTCTTGGATTCCAAAGGAATGTATGTATGATATTGACATTTGTCTTGTACATCACAAGAGACAGCTTGACTCGTTCGGAACTGATCGATGATCATGAACCATCGTTGTGTTGTGTTTGTTTGAACAGATCCACGGCGCGACGAGTAAACTTTTATCAGAATGCTCTCACTCGTGGTATACCATCTGAGTTTTGGACGCCTGTCACAGAAGCACATGATGATGCAGAGCCTTACTGGCTCTCACATCCTTTTAATTCCTCGGGATTGGTGAACCATATATTACTACAGATGTGCACTCAGTCGAATGTGCAATGCAAGTCTGTCCAGCTTATATTTGAGCAAACAGGAAAGTATTCCAAGTGGGACCCACCCTGGGAGATTCTAGTATGTCTGATCAATGGCTCACATCATCTTTAGTTGTATGTTGACATTGAGCAGATTAGGTCATCTAGACACCTTATATCAGTATCCCTCAGTCTGATATGATGGACTGAGATTGCTCTGTATCTAGACACCTTATATCAGTATCGTAAGCATGTATGTGAGTGATCTTGTTACGACCAGGGTTATCTGAATGGCATGAGCACGAATGTGCTGCCACATGTCGAGGATGTCTTACAAGTCAGCAAATGCCGACAGGTCTCTCCGTCTACCTCAGTAAGGTTTAAGGGCCTCATTGAGATGAAGGGCTAGCAAGAATATGACTAAGGCACGGGGAGCGACTTAGAAGTGCAGATCAAGGGTTGAGGATCAAGGAAAGCGAGTTGATTAGACAAGCTAGATCTAGGGAAGACCTGGTAGAATAAAGTAAAGAACTAATACAATGTCCTGTCTACTTATATACGCTGTACATAAGTGTTCAAGCTCAGTTCGTATCTGGGGGATCTATGCTAGTCATGGCGAGTCAGAGATAAGTGTACATGAGTCGAGCCATGAGGATCAGATAAGATGCATGAGGCTTAACCTCTAATCAAGCATGAGGCACCATGCTGCGCTTGAGTCATATATAGGCGCCATACGATGCTCTAGTCATAGATACGGTGCCATGTGTCTAACATGCGCCGGTCTAGGTGTCCATGAGGCGAACAGCCCCTGGAGATCAGGTACAAGGCCATCTAGGCCTACCATGACTCACAGTGAGTCATAGCAGTTCCAGACCACTGTCGTTCTAGGTTCTAGCAGTGTTCTGCTGTGTCGGTCATTCCAGCAGAGAGGGGCTCTGCCAATGTTACAGTTGACTGTAACAGATCTAGGTATGGCGTGATGAACACAAGAGACTTACCCTCAGTCTGATATGATGGACTGAGGGAAGAGAGAGACAATGGAAATAGAACATATATACTAAGTACACCCATTCCAAAACTCATACTCCGACAGTGGTCACATTGTTCACGTGCTCATAGCACCAATACATATGGAAGAATCAACAAAGCCACAGGCAATTTTTTACCCAAAGACTCTATCAACTCCAATGAGTTCCAGCCACTTTTCTGTCTTGCAGGTATTGAACCTGAGTCTGATGAACATCTAAAGACTGTCTGGAAGAGTCTGAATTTACTACATGGTCAAACAATTTAAATTGAATACTGAATCTCATGCATGAGTCAACAATAGTGATGTGCAAGGCCCGGCTCGGCTCAAAAGCTGGGGCTATGGCTTGGCTTGATAGGGCTCAGGCTCCTTCAGATTGCAGGCCAGGCCCTCCCCAACAGCTCAGGCTTGGTCAGGCTTGGCTTAGGGCTCAGGCCTTGGCTTCATATTACAATAGTGCTACAACATGTCTAATGATTGAACAAATACATCTTCATCATCGGAATCTCGCTGCACTTCTTCATCATCCAATTCTTCACCCAATACATCCAGTAAGTCACCCATCTGAGGCTCAGGCTGGTCCAAGTCTCTGTCACCCTCAGTGATGATGGAAGGATCCTCACAAAACAATAACCCTCATTTGATCATACATTTGAGGCACTGAAGTGCCTCAACAATATCAGGTTTCAGACAGTTACATTGCTTACTGATCGTGATTCCTGCTGATGAGAAAGCTCGCTCACTCGATACAGAGGTTGCCATTACAGAAAGGAAGTCGCAGGCAAGTGAAGCCCACATGGGGTAGTGTGGGGAGTTGATACCCCACCATTGAACAATGGACATCCCTCCGAGATGGTCCTTCGAGTTCAAGTATGCGTGAAAGTTGTGCAACCACAGCTTCAATGGATCTACCGAGTCAAAAAGACAAGCTGAAGATGTGCGAGACAGAGTTGGTGGATCCTGGTATGGTGTGTCAAGTGCATCTTCATCACCATCAGAAAGCTCATTCAGCAAAACATCCAATCTGTGGTTGCCGGTGCTGGTGCAAAGCTCCGTAGATGCTGAGGACTTCCCTGCATCATCACCATGCATCTCAAGATAGGACTCCTTATACTGCAAGAAGAACATCAACAACAGTTTATAAGTGAGATATAGACAAACGAACCATTGCTTTAGCATTCTCAAGCACCTCGTGCAGTAAATCATTCCCCCAATGACGACGGATATGAGCAGCCTTTTGTGTTGGGTCCAGAACTAAGATACTCAAATAAGTTGGTGTAGAAGTAAATCGGATGCGAGCACACTCACGCATAGCCATGATGTGGGCATCTGAACTGGCAGACTTCATGTAATAATCTGAAATTTTATCAACGGCGGCATCCAACGCTTGATGAAAATCGATATATTTGATCCATGCTGAATGAGATGACCAGGCACTGTGTAATGCTTTGAGTGCTGGCAGTGCCAGGTGCAGTGTTGGACCCTCCTCAGAGGAGAACGAATGCTGTGCTAACTCTGCGAACTATCATGCACGATTAGTACACCAATGGCCCACAAATAACATGAAAAATACACCAAGAATCAAGAGAAGTTTTTGGACTTGAGACCATTCATCTTCAGACAGCTCTAAGCTGGCAATCTTTTTGCATCTCAAAGCATCTCTGTCTTGCAATGTGAGTCGGCCAACAAAGTAATTAACATCCTAGCAAAATGAAATGTAAGCAAGGAGACAACAATGAAGTCTCATTACATACCTCACACATTTTGTATGCACGTCGGAGCATGACAAAGGTCGAGGACCATCGTACTTTCATATCTAGAAGAAGCTGGTGTGGATTAGCTGTAGGAACATGACCATCCTTGTCACGAAGTTGAATATTGCAGAAAAGTTCTTTCTGGGAGGCAGAAGAATGTTCCTATATGAAGATGAGCCACATGGATCCAAAAGTCATCAAAGACAAACCTTAACAGCAATAGAGCATACAAGCCCAACCTCATCATGCTGCCCATGGCATAACACAACAAGATCATTGTCGGGCTTCATTGCATTGACATGCTTAGATTTGCTGTGTGTTGAGAGCAGGGCTTGTGTTGTGAGATTAATAATATGCGCGAGGCACCTCAGCCGCCGTTTTTTAGGGTCAAACTTTTTCTTTGTCTTGTCTTCAATATGTTTGCTGAAATGTTCCTCATGGTGTCATTATTGGCCGTTGTTGCACATAACATAACTAATCTAACAAATGGCA